GAACATGCCGAAAGAAGGAACGGAGTGTGTTTGTCTATCCATTTTGCAGGCAGTAATATGGTCAGGCTTAGTTGTGCCTGTGTTCATATGTATGTGAGCGCGCGTGTGTAAGTGCCTGCAAGTGAGTGAATACTCGCGGGCACGCAATAGTCTTTTGCATGGAAGACTGGACACTATCTGCCGCTGTGTTTGAATTGTGCGAGCCCCGACCCAAAGAATATTCGTATACTTGACAGGCATATATAAAGAAATAAATGCATTTTTATCAGTCTAATAGATAGTTAAATGTATATCTATCAGATATATAGACAGATATGCCTTTATTTCTGCGTCTGTCTTTATGTAAATTCATTGGGTCGGGCTTGGCACAACTTTAACAAAGCGGCCGTATGACTATTTTGCTTCGAGTGTCCGATTTTCGACGAGACAGGTGATCTTGCGAGTCACGTGGTGGAAGCGTCTCATGAAGGCAGTGTCGCGAGAAAATGTCTTTCGGCAAACTAAGTAGAAGGTTGTTAATCAAGTATCTTCTAGTAGAAAAGATGAAAGATGAATTTTTTTTCCAAATACACGAGGGAAAAAGCTAAAAGAATCTGATGTTTGAGTTGAGGAATGAAGAGGGATTATTTCAGAAATTCATTCCATATTAATCTAGAAGGATCTCATCCTTTTCATCGGACAATTTAGGAGCCATGGTGACGCTAACACTCCTTCCATTCAACTGATCGTTGGCGACTGCGCTCATATTCCCCCGAGCCGTGCGACTATTCGGAGCCAACGATGCTCTAGCGGCAGTCGCTCGAAGCAAAAAGCCCTGTTCAAAAACAGAGAACAAGTGCTCAAGACAATCATTCGACGACCATCGTTGAGCGACAGTCGCACCGAACAAAACGTACCTTAACCGCGTCCCCGATCCAGCATATCACAATGACATCTTGATAAACAATGAGTATACAGTTATTCATAAGCGCGAAACATCTGCGATAAAGCAATTTTATACCAAAAAAGAACAAAAAAAAGTGTAAATAAAAGTAGAAATCATTCCGTACTAAAATTCCTGGTCCGTATCCCACGAATTCCCCCTGAAAGCAGTTCCTCAGCCGCCACAGCCTCCCCCGGATGCGCCTCCACCGTGCCGCGTCTCGCATTCTCCCCTCCCCCCCCCCCCCCCTCATACATCAGTGGCTCTCTCCTTTCCCTTGCCAGGTCAGGGTCGCGGACAGGGTGACCTGACAGAAAGGCACATCAACTACCTGGCTCGGGACACAAGGCTGTATTTAAGATCCGGGCAGCCTGCCAGTCTGCCCTGCGGCATCCCCTCAGCCTGGGGATAAGGCCGACTTTTGTACTAACGGTTTACACGCAGCCTACCTCATTACTCGTCCCTCGATAAACAAACTATAGACTGGAACATTCCGCGTCGCCATTGCAATTCTTCTTAGAGCCAATGCAGTGTACCTTTATTTTCACTTTTATTTACAAGCATGGCGCTCCAGAAATAATCACTATAATATATGCATAATTAGTACATAGACACTTACCTGCATACACATATGCACTTTTTTCTGTAGTCTTCTAAATCCTATGTAAATTCATGTATACATACATACTTACATACATACATACATACATACATATATATATATATATATATATATATATATATATTATATATATATATATATATATATATATGCATATATATGCATATATATATATATATAAATATATATATATATATATATATATATATATATATATATATACATATATATCTATATGTAATATATATATATTATATATACATACATATACACATATATACATAAATATACATATATACATATATATGTATATATGTACATACATATGTGTGTATATGTATATTTTTTATTCATTAATTTACACATACATACATACATACATACGTACATACGTACATACATACACACACACACATATATAATATATATATATAGAGTGAGAGAGAGAGAGAGAGAGAGAGGAGAGAGAGAGAGAGAGAGAGAGAGAGAGAGAGAGAGAGAGAGAGAGAGAGAGAGAGAGAGAGAGAGAGAGAGAGAGAGAGAGAGAGAGAGAGAGACAGACAGAGACAGAGAAATAGCGTTATCAATCTAGAAACACAGAAACAGTTTTGTCTCCAGGCAGAAAGAGCTACACCCAACGGAGGAGAGAATGCGCCGTAAAACCAATAGGCCATCATAAGTCTCGCACTTCCTTATCTCTTAATCGCGCCCACTTCCGCCCGGCCGCATGGATTCTAAATATAGCGCAAGAAGAGGAGGCGCCTCCAAGAATTTGGTTTAGCGCATCCAATATTCACATTGTTGCCGCGTAATTTCCATAAAGTTCTCAATGCATTGTTATTACAGACGAATATAGTCTTTATGTAGAGAACAGAATCGGAACCAGTCGACTAAAATGCATAATTTTGGTTTTAAAAAAGATGGCGGTTTTTATGTAGTGTACATATTCGACTAAAAACTATATGGTAATTATCAGTACACGTGTCTGGCAGACCCTCCAACACACCTTTTGCTAAAACTGTATTCTGATACGTTTAAACATTTTTTACGCTAAACCGAAGAGGGCGCAACATCTACACGTCGATTTAACATTCCAAGGAAAAGTGTTGTAAAATTTTGCTCAAGCTGAACTAAATTGATTAAAATACCGACTAAAAAGAAGAAAAAACAAGTATACATATTTGAATCAGCTTTGTTTGCAGGTGTAAAAAAAAAACACAATCTCTCCTTGACAAAGCATTCTACCGTGTTGATACATCGGTAAATGCTAAATTAAATCCCTGAGGATTCCAAAACTACTGTCGCATCCTTCCGTAAACCTAAACTACGCAGGGGAGATTTTCTTTCTGACACCGGTCTTACTTCACTCTTGGACTTAACCTCCCTTCGCTTCACGTCACCGCCTCCTCCGGTAAACACACGTCAGAACTCCACAACATTTACCAGCCATCTAAGCCCCAGCTCGTCTTCCTGGATCATGGTAACGGCTCATCCCTAGCCCCTAATACACACACACTGCCGGTATGTTTATAAAGTGCTCCAAAGGCTTAAAACCCGCAGCAAAATACATAAAATATAAAGGGAGTACAGAGGGAGTACAGTTTCATGTCAATTCATTAGTGATTTAGCGACTGTCAATCATCTTTATGGCCCTTACGTATGACTGCTTATATTTTACTGCATTCTCTATTCTTCTCTCTCTCTCTCTTTCCCTCCCTCCCTAACTCTCTCCCCCCCCCTCCTTACTCTCTCCCTCCTCGCTACCTCTCCCCTCTCTCCCTCCCTCCCTCTCTCTCTCCCTCGCCTTTCCCCTCTTATCTTTTTCACTTCCAGTCTCCCCCTCTCTCTTACCCCCTCTCCTTCCTCTTTCTCACCCCTCTCCCTCTCTGAATGGCATGCATCACCCAGTACTGAAACGATACGTACAGACAACACACACACACTATATTTAGACTCACCTCAGTCCCTCGGCCAAAGTAAACCAAATAATGCTATAACTGGCTTTACCACACTCCCGAAGATCGCCAGTGATTGGGAAGGTGAGGGGTCAGGAGCAAGAGAAGGGAAAATGACGTAGACGCGATAAGATTTATAAAGAGAAAGGAAGGGGAAAGCGCCGTAGATGCGATAAAAATGAGAAAGAGAAAGATAGAAAAGCTGAGAAACTCGTCTCTTAACTCATGAGATGAGAGAAGTAATAGGCACGCGGCTAAACCTATAAGGGAAAAGGGAGAAGTGAAAACAAAACAAAGACAATAGGGTCTAATGACTTTAAAAACAATATTAAGAGAAAGAGGAAGTGAAGGAAGAAGGAGAGAGATGTAATGATGGTGGAGGATGAGTTTCAAAGGGGGCGGAGTGACTGGACGTTGAATATAGCATTTGGCGGACGCATAGATTACGAAAAAGAAGGAACTGGTTCTTAAAATATATAAGTTGGTGCACTAATTACATGTGGTTTCCAAAGACTACTCACTAACTTCAGGTGCATTGGGATTAATTGGTCGTGAGTAATTGTAACATGTAGCCAGTATTTATTTGTAACCGGAGATATTTCATAAACACAAACATAAACATAAACACAAGCACACACACACAAGCATGCGCGCGCAGACACGCACATACACACACATATGTGTGTGTGTGTGTATGTGCGCGTATATATGTATATGTCTGTACATATATATATATATAATATATATATATATATATATATATATATATATATGCATGTATGTATGTACACACGCACACACACGCACACACATATATATATATATATATATATATATATATATATATATATATATATATATATATATGCATGTATGTATGTAAACACAGACACACACGCACACACACACACAATATATATATATATATATATATATATATATATATATATATATATATATATATATATATATATATACACACACACGTGTGTGTGTGTGTATCACCTTTGCTATGTTTTTATTTGTCATTTTCATTGAAAATTATTCAGAGAAAATTAGATATGTCTTGCAATAATGCAATAACCAATAAAGATAATTGATCAATTACATTTAATCATTAAAAGCTGATGGCAAAATCATATGATGCAACGAATAAATAAGTGAATGAATACAAATCACGTGTAATTGTTACGGGTCATGTAGCAAAGCAGTTAGCACATCTATTGTTTTTGGAGCGTCATTCGCCAGCCAGTGGGAACACACTGGTTAACGTGGCACATCAGCCCATAATGCCACTTATTCTAATTTGGATTTCCTAGATAATTCGAGGATGATTCAGCATTTGATTATTCCAATATATGCACAAATGTTGTTGTCGTGATTATCAACATTCTCATGAAGAAGTAAAAAAAAATATGAGAGACAATGTGCAAACAAAGATCATATAAAAGGTATCTGGCATCAGTGATACACACCTGTCTGGCCAACAATACATAGGAAGTGCATAAACAGTAGAGTGTACGCCGGTAGGTGCGACGCCACACGTCTCTGTTGTTCTAACAAACGCTTTCGGAAATTATACGTAAAAAAAAAAATACAAAAAAGGGGAAACCATTATGGCCAGATGAAGACACTCGTAGGCTAAGAGGCCACTGGCAACTGTGGTATGACGTGAACGCCCTAGCTACTGAAATGTGATTAAGAGCAGATGGAAAATATCTTAAGTGACTTGTACCACACAAGGCGAGCGGGACGATTAACTGCATTGTAAAAAAAAAGCAAGCGACAAGCCTCGTGCTCCGCGCCACGCCCGCATGACGTACCTCAAGAAGTCCTGGATGGATTCACTCGAGACCAAACTCTAATCTTAATCAATTCTGATTCCCACCGACAGCCAAGTTCCGCCCACCTAGGGGCAAAGAGGCGACCCCGCCCTACCTCCGCAGTGCATGTTGCAGCGGCAGCGAGGGCTTCCAGGACCCCGCCTTTAGGCCTGGACCGCAGCCGGCCGCCCGACCATGAGCCGCTTCCGCATTAAGGCCAACGGCGTCCCTACGACTATGCTTCGCCGCATCGTGTTGATAACCGCGGTGGGCATCCTGTTCGTCGTGGTCTTCTTCGGCTACTCCTTCCTCAATGACAACTTCCACCCCGCCTCCCTGGGCAGGTACAAGCACCACCCGCGCCAGAAGGTGCACCACGCCGCCGTCAACGTAAAGAACAGCAACATCGTCCCCGACCAAGCAAAATTTCACATGGGAAACATCTACATTGACAGCATTCATCATGACGACGAGGACTACTATGAGGAGTACGACGAGGACTATGAGGAGGATGAAGATGATGAAGAGGAAGATGATGACGAGGACGATGATGATGACGATGATGATGACGACGACGATGATGATGATGATGATGATGATGATGACTATTACGGTGAGGATTATGATAGACATGCGTTGAGATAGTGGGCCATCTGCATACAAAAACGAAAATCGATTATCATGTGTCCGAGATGTCAAGCGATACGTAAGTGCAGAGTGAACAATAATCAGCAGTGCATTCTCTCATCAAACAAAATGCCGATTGTATATAAATACTAAATTTCGATATGGTTATATAATCAAGCTTGCTGTAGCTGACAACACATGAAAACGCACACACACACAAAAAAAATCAGACACACACATACACACACTCAAATTATCCAATAAAATCATGCGTTATTTAACAATACTATACGGAACTGGGAAGACCACAAGAATATATCATCCATTCACCAAGGCTAGACACGAAAAGAGGAAAAGGGGGGAGGGACCAAAGAATACAGTACTACATATTCACCCATCATGAAGAAAAAAAAAATAAAAAAGGGTAAAACAAAATCTTATTCATCCAATATTCTTTTCCTTTTCAGTGGCGAAACCTAGGTAAACAAGGCGCCAGGTAGTAAGCTTCCTTCCCACACCTCTTATAAACTGGAGAATCTACAGACACGGTTCTCTACCTGAGTGATATAGGTCTTAAGAGCAGCAGTATAAGTCTGAAACATAGTTATCTGCAATTCTGCGCGCGCGCGCGCGTGTGTGTTTAAGTGCGTGTGAATGTGTGCGTAATTCTCCCCTCCAAGCAAGGTTTTCGCTAACATCTGTATACTGATGTGTGTTCTTTTATGTGATGTATATTTTTTATTTAATTCACGTGTGGACATGTGACAGATAAAATGTTAATGAATAAAGAATAAGTTGATAAATTGACTAATTCTAAACCTTTTGTTAGAAATCCACTCACAGTATCATTAATTTTAATTCGAATGATCTGAATAATAGAACACTAATTACGACAAAGACACTAACCAACACGGTAAGGCATGGCAGCAGTTGCCGTTTTTGACATTGTGATCAAAGCATTGGCGATTCATGAAATCATTACTTGTCCTGTTTTTACTTTGTAAATAAGAGCTAAAGGGTCCAGCAGCCGCAAGAACAGACAGTTTTCTAAAACAGGTGTCCGCACAGGTGAACACTGTCTGAACAGCTGCTTGTTTTGCCAGCACGCTGAACACTCCACGTATACTTTACGTTACGGATTATCAGATTGCCCTTTTATATATGACTTGAAACACGCTCATGTTATATTTCTTCTAACTTCTGTATCCTAATAAAGACAAGGAAAATATCAATTATTTTACCTTTTATTATCAATAGTATTACCGCCATTGTTGTTGTTATTAAGACTGCCGTTACTATTATTCTTTATCAACATCATTATTATTTGTAGCAGTATCATTACTACTACTAATGTCATTATCATTTTGATTGTTTATGTTCTGTTGTTATCATCAATATTCATTATTGCTACTATTACCATTACTATTACTATTATTATTATTGTCATCATCGCGATTATTATCCTTACTTAAACTTCGCTCTTTCTTGTCTTATAATTACGCAATCACTTCTTGCTTTCCATTCGTAGACATAGCCATAACACAGACACAC